CTATTGTATTATTTCTTTAGCCTATTAAAAAAAGGGGGGGCCAACATTCCATCATATTATTTCACATCAGCACTCCCATGGGTCACCGGTACTTGTCAGAACTTGTAAATTTTGCACGAAAGTCTCTGTGATTTGAATTAGCAATAAAAGTATTTCCTCATTTATGATTGCATGTACCAGTGATACACCTATCCAGAAGCTTCAGGGCTACTTAGTATTCTCACGGAAACAGAGCTCTCAAAAAATTTTACATTTCATTTCATTCCAGCATCTAGTGGACAAGATATCCCCTCTGGTGGGGAAGATGCCTGACTCATTAAGAAATCCTTCACAGCTCCTCCATGACTGACACCATTTGACCCTTTTCTCCAGCCTGTTCCTACCCAGGTCCTGTTCGCTCTTCATTTCTTAAGTCCTCGCTCTAGTCCTATTCCTGGTCAGTCCCAAGCTTTAATCCCTATAGTCCTCACACCAAGACCAAAACAGTCTGAAAACTCTAATGCCTAAAAGTGTTACATCTACAGCCACCAACTGTGGAGTCTCATATACATGGAAGGCGTTAACAACTCAGTTGTATTCTACCACAAGGATAGATGAGAGGATTGATCTACTCAGACCATCACCGTGATAAATCTTCCACTGACGATGATGTTTGTCGTTCCCGAATGCCAGACACACCGTGCACAGAATAGAAATGTAAAGGCAATGCAGGGTATGTTGTACAAAATGAGATATCCTGGGGCACATAATGAGATAAAATCTATTACCATAAATTATGAAGTGATTTACGCATAAATGAGGGTTGTCATGAAATTTAATTTTAATGGTTTGATAATCAAGTAAGAAACACAATAATTACCATACCTAAGTTTTTCATTAAATTAAAATCACTGCTAGTGGCAACACTTTTTTGTTAACATACATAATACAATTCCCCTCCAAGAGCTGTCTGCTATATTCTTCCATTTCAGAACAACCTGTTGAATGCCACATTACCGTGATAAACAAGTTGTTTTACTGCTGATTACATCCAAAACATTTCTCCGTTCATAGCAAAGCCCTTTCAACAGTGTGCAGTTGACTACTTCAAGAAACAGCTTTGCAGACAGGAGGCTCTGCCAGTCTAGAAAAATACCTGAAGGCTGAACTTTCCAATAGCATCTATCAGAGAACTTGTTTCCCTCATCATCCCATGCACTATGTTCAACCAGATAGATCAACAAAACATGCTGACACTACAGTGTGCTCTATCAACATCTGTTTTTTTAAAGTGAAGATATTGCCAACATCTCAGCATCACTCACTGCAGCCAGAACTTCAGCAAAGTAACTTGTCTGACAACTTTTTGTCAGGACACCAGCTGTCCAATGTATTTCCCTGTGTATATTAAAGCTTAAAAAACTCTTGCAGATGTAAAGCAGAAAAATTAATTTGATTTTGAATCTAGTTTTGTAATGAACCCTAAATTTATTTTCAGGAGTTCAACCAAGGACCCTACAAAACCCTTGCTCCTCTCTTTTCTTCAACATACCACTTCACAGGAGAGGGAGGGCAAATTTCCTTTCTTCTCCTTCTCTCCTCCAAATGACTCTTAGTTCTCTCTTCTCCCCACTGCAATCTTCTGAGAGCAGAAGACCTCAAAATAAAACATATCACTAATTGTCCCACAATGGGTCACAAAGGACCATTTCAAGTCATATGGAAACCAAAAAGGGGAGTATGAATATCACCAAGTAACATCTTGGGATACAGGGGAAAAAATGAAAGGCTGATCCTTTCCATTTGTGTTTCTGCAGAACATAAAATGATAAAAGACAGAAAAATGAGTGAAGAAAATAACCACCAAGCCCAAATTATCATTTCTTACTATAAAACGACAGGGAGCAAAGCATGTGTTCGTCTATCCTAAAATAGAAGGAAGTGTTGCTTCTCAGAAACACTGCTTATATACATATCCAAGAACAGTTACAATGCACACACAAAATATTCCCAATCAATCGCTTAAAAATTACAGTAAATTGTAAGCTTGAGGTTTTCTGAAAGCTAAAATGATAATCTTTGCTAGTCAGCAAAATAATCTTACTGTACAAAAAGGCATATATTTTTCAGATAGTATTTTAATGGCCTAAAAGACATCACTTTTCCTTAATAGTATAATACCATTTTTTCATACTGCATGCAGTATTATTGGAACAGCTATTATTTCCCTAAGTTAACCAAAGCAAACTCCACTTCAGACCCTAAAGTAGAAAGGGTGTGTAGTATTCTACGCATTTGATCCATTTTACCTAAACACAAATAAGCTGGAGAACAGGAGGGGGCTGGAATGCACCAAATAATACGGATGCTATAAGATGGATACCACGGACTGCCCTGCATGGATTCAGCAAGATTTGGTGGTGCCAGTACTGATCTGCTGATGATCCCAGACTTTTTTTGACATTTCTGCTTCCACCTCCTCCACTTTCCCCATTTCCAGCACCCTGGCCAATTGTATACCTTCGTTATAAATCAATTCTGTTATGGAGAGTGCTTTAATAAGTGTAGCATCCAGAGCCTTCCATTGCCATTCTTCATTTTACGTAAAAGCAACAGAAGAATCCCCTACAAATTCCCTCTCACCAGGCACAGGAGGGCAAAACTTATATTCTACAGCGATGGCTCCACAATACAGAAAAGAGAAGCAACACAACAGAGACTTCCAAGTTATTTTACTTGCTAAACATACACGGTGGGAAGCAGAGGCAAGTGTAAGCAGGATGCAGCATTATCCTTCTTTGTGGGTCTGTAGGCAGAGAATATGAAAACACTTATAGTCTCCAGCAGTAAGAATACAAACGAAGAAAACAATTTCCTGCTATCTACACTTTGTCAGGACAGGAGATTTTGAAATGATGGTGATGAATGGAGGGAGAGTAAATTACAAAAGGAAGCGAGAGTGACCAAAGCTGGCAAAAATGTTATAATTTAAATAAAAGTCGAATGAGGAAAATATTAAGAATGAGGACACAATCAAGAAGGTACAGGGAAGGGCAAAAAAAACCCTGAACTTGACTGAAGAGCCTCTCTTTAAATATTAATGAGATATTAACAAAAATTGATGTCCAAATTAAAAATGATAAAAGGAGAATCTAAGAGTAGGCCTTTTTGGAAAGCATTGTGTGTTTGGACTGAAAACACTTGGTTCAAACGCAAACTCCTGAGAATGACTGTCCTATGTTAAAAAAGAAAGATCTAGAACCATTGCTCAAAAAACGGGAAGAGTTCTGATTTTTTTTTCATTTTTCTTTTTTTCTTTTTTTTCTTGGTAAGATTAACAAAAGCCCTTTGCTAGGAAGGGGAAGCTAATTTTAGGGCCCGGTGTATGTTCCACCTAAGTTTCTGTAGTAGATCCATCAGAATAAAAATTAAAAATCTAAGCAACATACGAGCTATATACACATTGTTACAATTAAAAGCACTTATCATTCAAGAAATAGATAACAAATTAGCTTAGAACTGATAGAAAACTCAGTATAATTTCTAACCAAGGGTAAAACAATAAAATATTTTGCAGTAAGAATAAAAATCACTCTCCTTAAGGGGTTTAAATACTTGCAACAAATACACAATCTGCCTTGATAAATGACTGTTTCAAAAGACTTATTGAAAGCGTTTATATTCATTACAATATAACGATTTAAGGATATTTAAACTTAAATTATTAAATCCATAGGAAAATAAAAGTAATTCAATCAAGGAGATGCAAAGTAATTTTATAACCTTATTTGTAGCATTATTTCTATCTGTCACATATTATCCCCAAAATTGGGAGTGAAAAATTTCGAGGAGTTTACCAACTACAAAAATGATGGGAAATAGCAAGAGGCATAAAAACAAAATTACAAAACAATATGGATAAGTACATGAACATTTTGGTGAGTATTTAGACTGCTTTTAAAAAAAGAAAAAATTTCTAAATAAAAGGAACAAGCACTGTATGTTACTGATATATTTGACCATTCCTTGATAAAGTAAAATTGAGAAAATTCAGTCTTTGCATCGATGTATTTTCTTGTGGTTGTGCTTTCTGAGTCACTAAGGCAAAAAGCATTCCAAATTTGCTGCTATTGTTACCTATTCCATACTTCTTTTTGACAATTGCATGCCTTGCAATTGATGTGGTTTTCTTTGAACTTAATATTCAGACTTAGATTTGAAGACGTGAAAGTATCTCTCTTTAAATGTTTATCAATTGCATGATCTAAGACTGCAGCACAACTCTCCCAAAGAAGACAACTGTGCAGATAGCCCATGACCAAAAAGAAACATTTCCTTTTTCACAGTTTCATCTTTTTAAGATTAAAATGGTGTCATCTAGATGTAATGATCATCTAAAGGAGATAAACCAAGCAACCTAGGGTATAGCCAGCAGTAGGAATCCTAGGTAGATATATTATGGCAAATAATGGTTATAGTTAGCTACAAAATGATTTTTACATCACCATAGTAGGGTTGTAAGAACCAATACAAAGAACAGCCTACTTAATCTAAAATATTTTTTCCTCAGAGACTGTGATTGCTTTTTCTTCAATTCTATTTTTCTTTCCTGCAGTTTTCTTTCTACAAAAACTGATGAAATGGCTGGGAAACCACATAAAGAAAAGACTATTTAAAACTGGGAAAGGACTAGTGAGATCAGGTTTTAACATCAGAACTACATTCAGAGCACATGAAAATTATATTAAAACATTCTACAAAAACAAGTTAAATGAGCTGTACACCTCAGAACCAACTATTTTGTTTTTTGTTATTTTCAGTACTGCCAGATTCATAGCCAGAATAAATTCACTTGAGATATGGCTAGAACTCAGTGACACACCCTGAAGAAAGTAAAACTCTTATATTCTTTGACATGTGTACAATGTTTAAAAAGAAAAGCAGGCCCCAAATATCATGAATTGTGTATAAATAAATAATAAGGTTGAAAACAGGGCCCTTTTAATACTGAAAGCACTTACCGCTGACATTCCCCAGCATGCAGAATTAAATCTTCGTTATTCCTAGCACTGATGGTCAACTCATGTTCTGTAGAATTGAAGACATCAAGAAGTAGATGGCATTGCCGGGTGCTGTTCAGATGAGGGGGAGAAAAGAATAGCACAATTTCAATAACACACTGCAGAATTATTATACATCTAGCCGAATTAATTTTTATACATAAATATATTTGCATAAATATACATACATTCACATACATATGTTTTATACCCTACTCCAATTATAGGAGTATCTTACTCATTTACCAAAAATAACTTTTTTTAATAATGGGATTTCTTTTTTTTTTTTTTACTAAAACTAGACAGAAGCATATATCCTAAAGAGATGAAGTTCCCTGACAACTACAACCTGCACAATATTAAGCCCCATAGCATATGATCATCTGTATATATTCTCACTCTGCAGCTTTCAGATTCACTTCTATGGAAAAAGCCACAGATTTTTTTCAGTTCTTTGGGCATTCACATGAAACAGTTTATTATTTCAAACTACCTTGACATTATGTTTTTAAGAAACAAATTTACAAGCAAAAATTTAAATCCTTGCCCACTGTCAGGAAGCAATTCTATTTACTACGACAGCTGGTTTGTCTACAGACCAAAGCAAGCTGGCAACTAGAGCACTTTTCCACTATACCAACTACTCTGAGACAGACAACTCTGTCCTTTCTGTAAGAAAGGCAAACACAGGGACCTCTCACAGAAAACCTTATATTTGTTAGCTACTATCCTTCAAATCCAAATTTCCTTAGAAGCATTCAGTGTAAATATACCAACTGCATTTCTGGTAACCTTAGGAAATAATTCTGACAAAGCTACAAAGAAGAAACTTTATTGTAAATTTTTATTCTCATTAACTTTTCTTCCTTGTGAAACAGCACAAATAGCAGCATTGAGTGATTATAATATAATACACACGGAGAAATATCAGAACCAGACACTAAAATGCCAAAACCAACCATACAGCTGCAATAATGTTTCATCAGTCTACTCTGAAATTCAAAACTTCCTAAGAAGCTACTTAAAACCAGAGAAATATCCCATCCTTAAGCATCACTACAATTTAGCTTTAGCTATCAATGACTTAGAAGCTTAAATGCACATATAATGAAATTAGGTGACATTGTGAATTACCGTAAAAGTAGTATAGCCATTGTACAAAGATTACAGATAATTTCATCCCATATAATTGCTAGCATAATCAATAAGTAGGGAAAAGTAACTTGTATTCCGTGTCAGAAGTAGAACCCACCAGCAGCATTAATTTGAGAGAGTTCACTTGAAATCAGAAGCTCCCCAAAAGGGAAGAAAGAGGAATATGTTAGTAAGGTGAGAGTCGCCAGAGCCATTCTTCGAACAATATGCATATTCAAACTAAGATACAGTTGTGTGTCTCAGGCAACCAAGTATATTATCCTATTGCATAATAATTTACAATTAAACTCAAATGCCAGCCATTCCAAAGGCAATTAAACTAAAGAGTTGCAAGAGTTGAAGAACTGCTCTTCCACTTTGGAAACAGGTTCTCTGGTTCATAATACAACTCTCTTCAGAAAATCAAGAGATATCATTTTCGGAGCATATACAGGAGGCACCCTGTTGCTACCTTGCAAACCTTTGAGATGGGAACACTGTAGGACAAGCACAGGAGCTTAAGGTTCAGGTCACAAAAGTGATAGCAATGGCACATGCAGCTAGGCATTAAATGACAAGCAAGCACTGCTTGGGGACAGTAGCACATCTCTAGCAAAAGTAAAAAGCAAAAGTGGGGGTGGAGGCTTTTTTAATATATATTTTAAGGGTTTTCACTCTCTTTGGGTAAAACCCCAATGAATACTGAATATAGAGAAGAATGCATGAAGGTAGCTGAGTGCCTGAAGCAAACATGTCAAAACTCAAGAATTTAGAACAAACAAGGAGTCATAGCTCTTATTAGAAACTCCCTTCCTTATCAGCTCACAAGAAAGAAATGACTGGAAAGGCAGTATTCGAGTCGGTAGCTATCCTGTTACCAGTAAGGAATGAAAAGGAGAGAATTTTTAAAAAAGCCTGGCTTCCATCTCATCCTTGGGAGTGTGGGACAAGACCTGTGAAGACACAGCAAACTTCTGCCTCTCCAGTAGATATGAAGTTACAATCTGCAAGAGAGAATTCTAGTGTAGACTATGTTTACAAAATTCAGCATGGAAGGAATTTTTTATTTATCCCATAGCAAAACCAAACAATTGTCTGAAATAACATTCAAGCCTTCTGCAATATCTTTTGGCAGCAGAATCAAAGTTTTGTAAATAAAACAATTCATGCCATAAATATAAAGGACCTATATAAGAAGCAGCCCTTTGGGACTAAACACCATCACTAATACTAAAAATTCTCAAATATGAACTCTTGGGCTATGCAGTGAAAATTATTCATCATCATGACGTTTATTTCATCCTCTTCAAACACTACACAAAACAGACATGTAGGGGAAATAATTATTTCCTTGTCAATTTTAAGTTAATTCTCCAGGGAAATCTTTAATTAAAAAAAAAAAAAATCAAAGTTACAGAATTATTACAGTACTTTGAAATCTTCTAAGAATAAGATACAGGTATAAAAAGATTGAAGGCAACATTAAGACTGTAGAAAAAGATAGCATTAGACGTTCAGAGTAAATACAGGACAGTGTCAAAGAGACTATTAGAGCAATGAAAACCAAACACAATTAAAGGTTATGAAAATATTTGCATTAAACCAGTAAGCTTCAAATACTGAAAGCTGTATCCAAGTAAGGAAACCAAGACAAAGCATAAGCTCGGCAAAATTAGAGGTAACAACATAATAAATTTAAAAAGGAAAAAAGAAACCTTCAGGTTGTTAAAGAGCAATTTGCTAAAGATCTGAAAAGTAGCATGATTTTTTGGTTTTTTTTTTTTTTACAGGTGCTACAATCAGTAGGACTGTGTCGAACTGATGATGCTGAGATATGATCTGGGTGAAAGTGGAAGTTCCAGGAAAAGAAATAATTAGCAAGCAAGCCAAATTAACTATTTGTATTAATTTTCACTACAGGTGAACTTACAGAGGGCCATCCTTTGCAAGACAGAATTAAAGAACCTATTTCAGAGTGTCAGTAAATGAGATTTGAGAGGCAAATCACATTCATGCAAGTGTGACAAAGGAACTCCAATATGATTTTGCTGAACTGCTACATATAAGTCCAGTCAGCAATCTGTTGCTTAAGGTAAGCTCTTTACTAGACAATTTCAAACATCACGTTGCTTTAGGCATTTTAAGGCAATTGAGTAAATCTTAGACCATTAACCCCAGCCTCCGTACTGTGTAAATTAATTTAAAAAAAAAATAAAGTGTTTTAGCTTATAAAAACCTTAAAACATTCAAAATAATAAATGGATTTAAGATGATTAAAGTATATACCATAATGGCCTACTGAAATTTTTGGCTGAGAAATATCAGTCACAAGCCACTGATTCCTGGAACTGGGAAAGACTATCCCACATTTACACAATTTCTTCTTCCTTTTCCAAACTATCCACCACCATATAATAGTTTACACTAAATATTTAGTGGGTTGGGGAGGGAGGTACAGAGTGAGTCACTGGCGAAAAAACCACTTTGAGTAGATTTTGAGTCCTCTAAGTCTATTTAAGTAGATGCTAGTTACCATTCATTCCAGAGTAAGCGGAGAACTCCATCTTCAACATTTCACACAACGTGCAGGGTCATCAGTGGCTTCCCATTCTTTTTTGAGGTTTTGGGTCATTTTGCTTTTACTAGCTCCTTTTTACAGTTTGGGTCAAACACATCTAAAATAAGTCAGTTTGTGTTTGGGTGTTTTGGTTTTGTGGTTTTTTTTGTCCTCCAGAACATCTATTAAGATTGCATGCTATCGTCACACATAAATACACACAAAATTAAACTGTCATTTAGTTTTAATCCATATACTTATGCACTTACAAGCATTTAAGAAAACAATATGAATCAGTACAAAGTTTCCCATTTCTGCAAAACCTGAATAATCTGCTCTTCATGGATTATTCTGGAAGATACAGGACAGAAATACACCATTGCACCGCAAAAATCTCCACTCCCATATATCCACATACCTATCTCCTCATCATACACCCCCCAAACCACCCAAAGCTTTCTCACCTGTCCATCAACCACAGTGGGCAGTGCCATGTTTTTTGCTGGCCTTAAGCACAACCATGCCAATTGGTACAGAGAACAGAGCAGGTAACTGCTGAGTCCCTGCTTCTGCCTTTCCTCACTGGGACATAAGTTAGGATACCTCTTCTCTGTCTGGTTACCAATCTGCAGGAATATATTGAACTTTTCCCTGAAGCTGGCTGAAATCAGTCAAAATTTAGCAAGGGGAGAGGGGGAAACAGTTAAAGTGAACATATAAATTTCATTTCCCTAGGAAATAAAATATAAAATTATCCAGAAAAATACAGCAGACACCACAAACACAATGTCTGTCTTTTCTGAATGGAATGATACACAAATTATTGCATTATGTTAAAAGTCCAAATCAAATGAAGATGAATTAAAGCTGTACTGGTCTGTATATAGACTGTAGGATAAAGAAGAAAAGTCCTTGAAAGGGTTTTACTCTTCTTTCCATCTGTCATTTCGACGCTAATGGAAGGGAAATAAGCCTGGGTCAAACAAACAGTTTCAGAGCCTAAGTGGAAGAATACTAAAAATTACAACATGCAAGCATTTTCCATTTCAACTATCTTCCTTATTTGTCCATGGTGTTTCCTTTAGAACTATCTACCATAAATCTCATGTTGAAGATTTTCTTTTGCAAGTAACACAAAAATCTATGGATCAGAAGGTTGTACATGCAAAAACTAGAATTACAAAGTAAGTTATTTTCAGTTGGGTGATTTATAATCTGAAGGTCTTAAAATAACATGCAAAATTAATTCAATACTCATTTCAAACACTAAAAAATAAGAATTCTTAATCTTTTCTTGAAAATTGAGTTAATTCAACAGTGTCTTGAAGCTTTACTGTATAAATTAATTTCTGTTATCCTCTATTGCAGAATTCAGGATATA